GGCATGGTCCCCGCGCCTGGAAGGGCGAATGGGAACATACCAGGGAGGAAAGGCATCCCCCCGTTCTGTTGGCACATGGCCATGACCTGGCCAAAGCCCTGGATGGCTTGTAGGTTGGCTGGGTCATTCATGAACTGAGTCATGCTTGGTGGGAACGTTACCCTCGGTCCAGCGGAAGGGACGGGGGTCACGAAGGGACTGATCACGCTGGCCGTCGGGACAGAGCTCAGACCCAGAGGCAACACCGGGGCTGAAATGACCGGTATGGTAGCAGCCACAGGGATGCTGGCTCCCTCGTTGGTGGCCTGCACCTGAGCGGAAGTAGCGTTGATTTGTTGGCTGGAAGACATTTCGAGTGGTGTTTTGGTGGGTAGGTTTGTGTTTTGGAGAAGAAACCTTAACGGTCCCACGGTCGGCGCCAAAAATGATGGTGTAAATTACTTGACCGGTCAAACTATACTAGACCGGGTCTAGAATAGTTCGCTCGATTTGGCAAAGTGAGAAAGGTAAAAACACGCAGATTGACCGGTAGGACTTTAGGTGGAACACATGTAGCCCAATTTATATTATAACGGAGAATGCACGGGTGCTTTTACAAGGGAGTTTAGAGAGAATGAATTCGGATCCCCTTCTGAGGTTTACAAGGGGTATATATACTAAGCTGGGGGAACGGTCCACGTGCGCCCACGTGAGGGCACGTTGCCAACGTGGTGCGAGATGACTGTTCCTGAGCCGCCTTGTCATCTTGCGAAGGGGATTTCTCTCCTTGTCACGTTCTGGCTTGGAAATATTCCTCCAGGATCTCTGCAATTCCAACCACTAAAGTCCAAGTCCTTTTGGACTCCTCCTGCCGACACTCCTCGATCTCTAAAAGTATTACCGGTTGATTTCTGAAGGCTTGGATTAATTGTTTTCGGAATCGGTTCCTGCTGATGGAATAAGCTGACCGGTATACTTTCCGAAGTGTACCGGTCCACTTTTTGGTCACTCGGTGGTCCATTCAGATCTCTCTTCAAAGTTTGACTTCTTTGACCGGTCAACTATCCGGTCCTGACCTCTGACCGGTCGTGGGTGAAATACACCCCATCACAGTCAAAATGAAGAAGTGAAAAAGTTTAACTTAAAAATAAATTATTACTCCGTATGACATACTTATTTTTTTCATTTATAAATAGTTTATAAGCATACAAAAACATGTAATCAGTTGATTTATAAATTAAAAACTACTTATAAATAATTATAAGTATATAAAAACACTTATAATATTATTGAGTAGTGAAAAATTAGAGACGTATGCCCTCCGACCCCCCTTGTTTGTTGTGTTCTTCAAAAAAGAGGAACCCATGACTTACTTAGACAAAACCTCTTTTACCTTCTAACTAACCTTGTCAAAGAACTCGAATGATGCCTTCAAAAAAAAATAACTCGAATGAATCCATAACGTGGAAATTTCCCAAAAGTGAGTATAGCGCCGTACTATTTAAAGTCAAACACACATGCGCCAAATGATCATCCCTTCCCTTACAATTACACCATTCCATGAACCAGCACACCATTCTTTTAGCTTCCTCAGAATTAGTGCCCACAATAATGTTCTTGTTCACCCAAACCAGCCTCTGCATCTTCACACTGTTAATCTCAGCTTTCCCATTTTATGGAGCATCCCAAGCTACCATGAATCATGAAAGGTCAATTCTTCTTGATTTGAAAACCCATTTTTCAGACCCACCAAACATCTCCCACTGGTCTTCATCCTCCCCCGATCACTGCGCCTGGCCGGAGATTACCTGCCGAGACGGCGCCGTCACCGGAGTTCGCCTCGGCTGGGTTCTGATCAACAGCACAGTCCCACCCTTCATCTGTGAACTCAAGAATCTGAGCTTTCTTGACCTGAATCACAACAATTTGAATGGCCCATTTCCTAAAGCGCTCTACAATTGCTCAAAGCTTGAATTTTTAGACCTTTCTTTTAACTACTTCAGTGGACTCATCCCATCTGATATTGCCCGGCTTTCGCCCGAGCTTCGGGCTTTGAATCTTTCTTCCAACTCCTTTGTGGGCGGCATCCCTGCTGGAATTGGAGGGTTGAAAGGGCTAAAAGAGCTTCAGCTTGCAGCAGTTGTCCCAAATGGCTCATTCCCTTCTGAGATTGGAAACTTGTTGAATCTTGAATTTCTTGTTCTGAGCCAGAACCCCTTCTCTCCGCAGGAAATCCCGCAGAGTTTTGCCCAGTTGAAGAAACTGAGGAGTCTGTGGATGAATGAGGCAAATCTGATAGGCGAAATCCCGGGGAACCTCAGCAAGTTAACAGCTTTAGAGTTCTTGGATTTATCATCCAATGAGTTGACTGGAGACATTCCCAGTGACCTGTTCTTGCTCAAGAACTTGACCACTGTTTACCTCTACGTGAACAGATTGTCAGGGCCTATTCCTAAACCTGTTCTGCCCTCGAATTTGGAGAATATCGACTTTTCGAATAACAGCTTGACAGGAAGCATCCCGGGAGAATTCGGGAATCTGACAAAGTTAGAGGGGTTGATCTTGTTCATGAATCAACTGTCTGGCAAAATACCATCAGGAATGGGTAGATTGCCAGCTCTGTCTTGTGTCAAGCTGTTCCAGAACAACCTAGTAGGCGAAATTCCACCAGATTTTGGTCGGTTTTCGAACCTTGAACTATTCGATGTCTCCTCGAACCATCTCACAGGCTCCCTACCGGATGGTTTGTGCGATAACAAAGCGTTGAATTTCTTGTTTGCCTTTGGTAACAACCTCACAGGTGAGCTGCCTAGATCGCTTGAGGATTGCGACACGTTGAATGAGGTCCGGGTCGAAAAGAACAGTCTTTCTGGGAAATTTCCTTATGGGTTGTGGAGAGTTAAAAGTTTGTCAAAGTTGATGATTTACAACAACAAGTTGCGTGGTCAGCTGCCACAAGAGGTTTCCTCAAACCTGTCTCTTGTTGATATCAGCAACAACCGATTTTCGGGCGAAATTCCTTTTGTCATCTCGACTTGGACCAATCTCAACACCTTTAAGGCAAGCAATAATCTCTTGACAGGTAAAATCCCTCAAGAACTCACAGTTCTTAAATCATTGTCTGTCCTTATGCTTGATGGCAATATGCTTTCTGGTAACTTTCCCTCAAATATTACTTCTTGGAAGTCTCTGTCGACATTGATATGCAGCAGAAACCAGCTCTCCGGGAAAATCCCTCCAGCTTTAGGCCTTTTGCCAAACCTTAACCAGCTGGACCTGTCCGAAAACCATTTCTCTGGCAAAATCCCACCTGAAATTGGTCATCTAAGGCCAACTTCACTCAACCTCTCGTCCAATGATCTCTCCGGGAAAATCCCAGAAGAACTTGAAGTCGCAGCATTCGAGAAGAGCTTCCTGAACAATCCCAGTCTCTGTGCTGCCACACCCTCCATAGGACTCGCGACTTGCAATCCAAAACCCAAGAAATATGACAAGATTCCAGCCAAAGTTATGGCCATTCTTGGAAGCATATTGGCATTTCTGTCCCTGATAGTCATCGCGTACATGCTGTTCGTGTTCACAAGTTACCGGAAGAGAAAGACAGATGTGGTAAAAGACTGGAAGCTCACCCCATTCCACAGCCTGAGCTTCACAGAATCAAACATTATACAAAACTTAGAGGAGAAAAATGTGGTCGGTAGCGGCGGGTCAGGAAAGGTTTATGTTGTGCCATTGAGAGGAGAGGAAGTTGCGGTGAAGAGGATATGGAGCAGCCACAAGATGGATGAGAATCTGGAGAAGGAATTTGCTGCAGAAGTTGAGATACTCGGCACAATTCGGCACTCCAACATAGTGAGGCTACTGTGCTGCATCTCAAGCGAGGAGTCTAAGCTTCTGGTTTACGAGTACATGGAAAACCGCAGCCTTGATCTGTGGCTTCATCCGAAGAAGAAACGGTCACCAGGTCAGGTCTTGGATTGGCCCACCAGGCTTCGAATCGCAGTCGGAGCTGCCCGGGGGCTCTCACACATGCACCACGACAGCTCGCCGCCGGTTGTTCATAGAGATGTCAAGTCCAGCAATGTTCTTTTGGACTCCGAATTCAATGCCAAGATTGCGGATTTCGGGCTGGCCAGAATATTGGCAGGGCAGGGTGGTTCCAACACTGTTTCAGCCGTTGCTGGATCCTTTGGCTACATAGCTCCTGGTAAGTCACTATGTTATGACAATATGAAATGTCAATATATAGTGTCACATTGTCACGCATGTCACTCTTGTTTTGAGGATAATGACTATGTTTTGCTCCTATTTTGATTGATTCTTTTTGTACAAGTCCGTTTCTTTGACTTTTTTTAATCAAATATCTTTTTTTGCAATTTTGATTTCAGAGTATGCGCATACGAGGAGAGTGAATGAGAAAGTCGACGTGTACAGCTTCGGGGTGATTCTCCTAGAACTGGCAACGGGAAGAGAGCCGAACGACGAGGACGAGGAGTGTTGCCTGGTCGACTGGGCGAGGCACCACGTGGAACAAGGGAAGGCGATAGGGCTCGCCTTGGACGGGAGCATCCCGGGGCCCGCGGAGGAGATGTGTGGGGTGTTCAAACTAGGGATCTTTTGCACAAGTGTGAGTCCAGCTAAGAGACCTAACATGAAAGAGGTCTTGAGATTCCTCCAACATCTTTCACCACCTGATGGGGAAATGGTCAAAGTTTGTGAGCATGATGGTGCTCCTTTGCTCATGTATTCCAAATCCAATGGTGGATATGGTGGAAGTGGTCATGAGCATTTTCTATTGTAGGACCCATTTGGTAATAGCTTCCACGTTTAGCTTTAGTCTTTCCAAAAGTATCAATATATGGAGGTTCGTATTTTTTATCGTTAAAATATGAGTACAATGTCAATAATGTCAATATATAGTACCAAAAAAATACAGTGGAATGCTACTATACTATGTCATAATGTCACACTATACCACAAGAAATCACGCTAAACACGAGTAAAAATATAGAGAAATCACCAAAATAGAAATTTTATGTTTTTATCCTCCAAATAAGAGTTTTCATTGTAGTAACGTGACTTTATATATGAATATTTTATAATACTTTTGAAGAAAAAAATTTGAAACTCTTATTTTGAGAATAAATAATACTCGGTGTTATACTCATCATATTTGAAGTGATTTCTTTCCCATAAAGATGACTCTCTGGCGGGCCTTGCCAAAAGCCGGGTCTTTCGCAAAAAGACTGATAACGACTCCGTACATCATAATAAGTGTATACTTGTACTCCGTATTTTGTAAAAGAAATCACCCTACACTCTAACTCACCCTAAATTACGCATTTAGCACTATTCATTGTTTTTTTAACAAATTTAGCAATTTATGGTGTCAATCCTTTCCTATCATACCCTTTACCCCTTTTTCTTTTTTTTCATTAAAAATTACGGCATTCAACTCCAATCTCTCCTTCCGTTCTCCCGCACGCTATTGAACTCCACGGTCTCTCCTTCCGTTCGCCGGCGATGATGCGCCCTCAGGCCTTCGCCCACGATTCCTTGTCCCTTTTGAAAAATTAGGTCTTTTGAAAGGCATTGTGATTTTGGCAGCGTGAAGATTAGGTGTTATGGTGTGGACAGTGTGAAGATTAAATGTTAAAATTTTGTCTTGCATCCTTTTATTCGGATTTCGCTGTATTTTTAGTTTTAATTATTGTGTTTTGTGGCAGTGTAGATATATTGTGACAGTGTATATATTGTGGCAGTGTATTTCAGATATTGAATTTTTGGCAGAGTATATATTGTGGCAGTGTATTTCAGACATTGAATTTTTGGAAGTACATATTGTGGCAATGTAAAGAGTATATATTGCAGTGTATAATTACCATAAAAAATAAAATGTCACGGCTTAAAATGAATTCTGCTCTTTTTTTGGCAGTGTTGTATGTGTTAGAGCACTAAATTCAATCTCAAACATATTGTGGCAGTGAAGAGCAGAGAATTTCATACTTATTTATAATGTGGCAGTGAAGAGTATACATTGCAGTATAATTCTAATTTTGGGAGTTTATTTAAGGACAAAAATGGGAATTCATCCAAAAAACTAATAGCACTGCTATTTTGAGTATTATAAGGTTATTAAAGTGTTATTTTCGTATTTCTCCCTAAAAGGACCATGCTACACTTACACCAAAAAAATATACCTCATTTGTACACCATAGTTTTGCACAAACATTTTGATGGTTTACACCGACACAAGTGTTGGTGCGTTAATAAAAATTTACACGGACACAAATGTTGGTGCGTTAACAAAAATTAGTTTTACACCAACATAAAATGTTAGTGCAAATTTGCGGGGTACAAATTGGGGTATAAATGTTGGGGTACACATAGCTTATCCTTTGTAAAAAGGATAAAGCTACTTGTACCCCAACCTTTTGTACCCCAATTTGTACCTCGTAGTTTTGCATCAACATTTTGTGTTGGTGTAAAACTAATTTTTGTTAACGCACCAACACTTTGTGTCCGTGTAAATTTTTGTTAACGCACCAACATTTGTGTCGGTGTAAACCATCAAAATGTTTGTGTATAACTGCGGTGTACAAATGGGGTACTCCCTCCGTCCGAAAATATTCTTCCCACTTTCTTGTTTGGTCCGTCCGGAAATATTCTTCTCATTTCCTTTTTTAGTATACTTTTTAAGGATAAATTTCAATAATACCTTTCTATTTTATCTCTAATATACTTTTTTATTACTTTTTTAATAAAAAAAGGAGATTTAAAAGTTTATAATATATGCATTTTTGGAAATTTGGCATTTTTCTACTACTCCTTAATAAGCGTGCCAAGTCAACCCGGGAAGAATATTCTCGGACGGAGGGAGCATAATTTTTGGTGCATATGTAGCATGGTCCTTGTAAAAATTGAGTGTTTTGAATATTGTGCCTATTTTGACCGAGTATATGAATACGAACTAAGAAACTAAAATTATAGGGTCAAAATTTAGGGGCCGGTCTTCAGTTTAGATATCTTTGGATTTAGCTCTCTATTATACTACTTTTGTCCTATTGTTTTTATCCGATTTAAATAAACTTTGAATAATTTTTATTTTATATGAGTATAATGAAATAAATTTTTGAAAATTCTCAACAAGATAAATTCTAATAAATTAATATATATATTACAATTTTTATTTACTTGAAAAACTTGAAATTTATCTTGTTTGACTCAAAAAAATTAAACTAAAAAATTTTATTATATAATGGAGGGAACATGGTATTTATCACTTTTAACTCATAGTATTCGTTTAGTTTAATTTTTTTAAGTCAAGTAAGATGATACGTGATCGTATCAAATATGGAAGAAAATTGATAAACTGGGGAAGAAGATGAAGAATTTAGATTGTTTGATTGATTTTTGATAACTCAATAACTAGATACATTAGTATGTATAGCTAAAATACGTAATAACTAGATACATTAGTATGTATAGCTAAAATACTTAATTAATCCTAATCATGATAAAACCCTAATGGTAATATCACTCCAATAGCAGCATCAAGCTACGATAAATAACCAAAAAATCTTTGAAAAAGTGTTATAATTTCACTAACAATATAAAAGTAAATAAAAATATATAACAATAATTAAACTATCAAATTAAACTATATAACATAAACTATTTAATAAGTCCTTCCGTATTATAGGATGAACTTTAATCATCAATTATACTCCGTATTATTTTTTGTATATTAATACAATGAAATAAATTTCTAATAATTTTCCACATGATAAATCTAATGAAATCATTTTGTAAAATATCCAATACATTTAAGAGATGACCAAAATTTGTTCAAGGAAAAAAGACTAAAGTAGGAGTAAAACATTGAAAATACACCAAAAATTAAGTTTCATGCTTTTATTCCTGAAATAAGAGTTATTGTAGTGTTAATCATGACCATGTACATTACCAAAAAGTATTATGAAACGTTCATATGGAGTGTCGCATTACCACAACGCAAACTCCTATTTTGTTCAATTTAACAAAAAAAATCAAACTTAACGAATGAAATAGAACGGGGATAGTAAACTTTATGAGAGGTGTAGGTACACCATGGTAGCTCAAGATCTTGTGTTTCATTTGTCCCGAAATAAAATTTATACTTCCACACCTTCTCATTATGAAAAAGATTGAGCGCACAATATTTATTCTTCTAAACATAGTTATGGATGCCAATAACACCTCATACAAAACGCCCGTCATTCAATTTTTAGTGCGGCTCTCAAGTCCTCGTAGTTTGTTCCTTATTCCTACTCCCTCCGTCCTATAATGTTTTTTTCGGTTCATTTTACGAGATTTGACCGACTTTATTTTAATTCAATTTATTTGATTGTAGGTGTAAAATTAAAAAATAAAATTTATATATTGAAAAACTACATCAAAAGTTCTACAAAACAAGTGGTGACAAGACTATATTATTTTATCAAATACCTAATAAAAATAGGTAAAAAAAATAATTAAAGTTTAACCAGGTAAAAAGTAAGTGAGAATAATATTTTAGGACGGAGTGAGTACTTTAAAGCATCATAAGAGCATGTGTTATGGTGCTTGAGGAGGGTTTGACCTCCTTCACACCTCATACATGCCCCTTTCCCACGACGCCTTCCAATTTTTTGGGCGTGGCCCCTCACGCAGGGATGGCCATCCCGCCGTTGCCTTTTTTTATTTTTAATCTCCATCAATCAAAATTTAACACGCATTCACACATCATCACATTCTTTCACACTCACCGTAACACATATTTTTCATCACTACACATCATACATCTTTACACCCGTCAATTCCCCATAAAACATGGCCTAAAGATACATATTGGCCTTTATTGTCATTGCCATTTAAAAAACCAGCAGCATTCTTAAAGGTAGACACTTATAAGAAAATAAATGCAAAAACTATCAAAGGTGTGGGAGAAATGGAAAGGAGAAGTGATATAAGAGTGCAATTCTTACTTGTGCCAATTTGTAGTAAAAGTATGAAACATACTTCACTATTCGAAAAGGGGAAAAAACTAAATAGAAGTGAAACATTGAAAATATACAAAAATAGAAGTTCTATGTTTTTATTCCTAACATAGGAAATAAAATGTATTTTCAGTGCCAATCATTACCATATACATTATCAAAATATATTATGAAATATTTGTATATATACAGTGTCACATTATCACAGTACAAATTCTTTTTTTGATATAAAAACATAGAGCTCTTACTTTGGTACTTTTTCTATGTTTTATACGGAGTACTTATTTAGAGTAATTTCTTATTCAAAAAACAATATGTAGGGCAATTGCCTATGACAGTATATATGTAATTTTCTACTCTCATTATCACATTAATAATCTTGTCAATCTATAAGCATCCTTAACAAAACCCGTGCTAGAAAAATACAAAGTAATATTTTCATAATTCTGTATCACATGAAATTGGTAGGCGATTGACCAAATTGTAAGCAATAGCGGGACCAATGGCGATGCCCCTTCCATAAATAGTGATTATGATGTGCGAGGAATATCAGAGTAAGTGATGCACTTAAAAGAAGCATTTGATGACGACTCAATTAATGTTTCCTCTAAGCCTCTTATCAACTTAAGAGACAAGCTTCACACTGATTCATTCACCACTCTATGAGGAGTTGATCTGTTTAGACAAAGAACACTTTCGCACTAACAATGATCCTTCATGTTGGACGTAGATATCCATTGTCTTTATGTTAAGACACCTACAACATCTTATGCTTCATGTGTCATCTTTCTTCATGTCTCCAATGTCTTCATCTTAACATGAAACAGAAGGTATTGTATGTGGCTTAACATGAAGACATTACATACTTGCACCCAACATGAAAAATCATTGTTAGTGTGAATATGTTCTTTGTTTAAACGAATCAAGT